CAGTGCACATCGCGAACAGTGCACATCGCGAACAGTGCACATCGCGAACAGTGCACATCGCGAACAGTGCACATCGCGAACAGTGCACATCGCGAACAGTGCACATCGCGAACAGTGCACATCGCGAACAGTGCACATCGCGAACAGTGCACATCGCGAACAGTGCACATCGCGAACAGTGCACATCGCGAACAGTGCACATCGCGAACAGTGCACATCGCGAACAGTGCACATCGCGAACAGTGCACATCGCGAACAGTGCACATCGCGAACAGTGCACATCGCGAACAGTGCACATCGCGAAGAGTGCACATCGCGAACAGTGCACATCGCGAAGAGTGCACATCGCGAAGAGTGCACATCGCGAAGAGTGCACATCGCGAAGAGTGCACATCGCGAAGAGTGCACATCGCGAACAGTGCACATCGCGAACAGTGCACATCGCGAACAGTGCACATCGCGAACAGTGCACATCGCGAACAGTGCACATCGCGAAGAGTGCACATCGCGAAGAGTGCACATCGCGAAGAGTGCACATCGCGAAGAGTGCACATCGCGAAGAGTGCACATCGCGAAGAGTGCACATCGCGAAGAGTGCACATCGCGAAGAGTGCACATCGCGAAGAGTGCACATCGCGAAGAGTGCACATCGCGAAGAGTGCACATCGCGAAGAGTGCACATCGCGAAGAGTGCACATCGCGAAGAGTGCACATCGCGAAGAGTGCACATCGCGAAGAGTGCACATCGCGAAGAGTGCACATCGCGAAGAGTGCACATCGCGAAGAGTGCACATCGCGAAGAGTGCACATCGCGAAGAGTGCACATCGCGAAGAGTGCACATCGCGAACAGTGCACATCGCGAACAGTGCACATCGCGAACAGTGCACATCGCGAAGAGTGCACATCGCGAAGAGTGCACATCGCGAAGAGTGCACATCGCGAACAGTGCACATCGCGAACAGTGCACATCGCGAACAGTGCACATCGCGAAGAGTGCACATCGCGAACAGTGCACATCGCGAACAGTGCACATCGCGAAGAGTGCACATCGCGAAGAGTGCACATCGCGAACAGTGCACATCGCGAACAGTGCACATCGCGAACAGTGCACATCGCGAACAGTGCACATCGCGAACAGTGCACATCGCGAACAGTGCACATCGCGAACAGTGCACATCGCGAACAGTGCACATCGCGAACAGTGCACATCGCGAACAGTGCACATCGCGAACAGTGCACATCGCGAACAGTGCACATCGCGAACAGTGCACATCGCGAACAGTGCACATCGCGAACAGTGCACATCGCGAACAGTGCACATCGCGAACAGTGCACATCGCGAACAGTGCACATCGCGAACAGTGCACATCGCGAACAGTGCACATCGCGAACAGTGCACATCGCGAACAGTGCACATCGCGAACAGTGCACATCGCGAACAGTGCACATCGCGAACAGTGCACATCGCGAACAGTGCACATCGCGAACAGTGCACATCGCGAACAGTGCACATCGCGAACAGTGCACATCGCGAACAGTGCACATCGCGAACAGTGCACATCGCGAACAGTGCACATCGCGAACAGTGCACATCGCGAACATGCATCGCGAAGAGTGCACATCGCGAACAGTGCACATCGCGAAGAGTGCACATCGCGAACAGTGCACATCGCGAACAGTGCACATCGGCACAGTGCACATCGCGAACAGTGCACATCGCGAACAGTGCACATCGCGAACAGTGCACATCGCGAACAGTGCACATCGCGAACAGTGCACATCGCGAACAGTGCACATCGCGAACAGTGCACATCGCGAACAGTGCACATCGCGAACAGTGCACATCGCGAACAGTGCACATCGCGAACAGTGCACATCGCGAACAGTGCACATCGCGAACAGTGCACATCGCGAACAGTGCACATCGCGAACAGTGCACATCGCGAACAGTGCACATCGCGAACAGTGCACATCGCGAACAGTGCACATCGCGAACAGTGCACATCGCGAACAGTGCACATCGCGAACAGTGCACATCGCGAACAGTGCACATCGCGAACAGTGCACATCGCGAACAGTGCACATCGCGAACAGTGCACATCGCGAACAGTGCACATCGCGAACAGTGCACATCGCGAACAGTGCACATCGCGAACAGTGCACATCGCGAACAGTGCACATCGCGAACAGTGCACATCGCGAACAGTGCACATCGCGAACAGTGCACATCGCGAACAGTGCACATCGCGAACAGTGCACATCGCGAACAGTGCACATCGCGAACAGTGCACATCGCGAACAGTGCACATCGCGAACAGTGCACATCGCGAACAGTGCACATCGCGAACAGTGCACATCGCGAACAGTGCACATCGCGAACAGTGCACATCGCGAACAGTGCACATCGCGAACAGTGCACATCGCGAACAGTGCACATCGCGAACAGTGCACATCGCGAACAGTGCACATCGCGAACAGTGCACATCGCGAACAGTGCACATCGCGAACAGTGCACATCGCGAACAGTGCACATCGCGAACAGTGCAACATCGCGAACAGTGCACATCGCGAACAGTGCACATCGCGAACAGTGCACATCGCGAACAGTGCAACATCGCGAACAGTGCACATCGCGAACAGTGCACATCGCGAACAGTGCACATCGCGAACAGGCACATCGCGAACGTGCACATCCGCGAACAGTGCAACATCGCGAACAGTGCACATCGCGACATGTCATCGCGAAGAGTGCACATCGCGAAGAGTGCACATCGCGAAGAGTGCACATCGCGAAGAGTGCACATCGCGAAGAGTGCACATCGCGAAGAGTGCACATCGCGAAGAGTGCACATCGCGAACAGTGCACATCGCGAACAGTGCACATCGCGAACAGTGCACATCGCGAACAGTGCACATCGCGAAGAGTGCACATCGCGAATTGCAAATAATACAGACTTTAGTGCATGATATTTTTATGTAACTATTATCAAACACATTTGAGTCCAAATCTAATCCGGCTTCCCATATACAGCTTGACTCGTGCATAGTACCATAGCAGGATAAATTAATTAATCTCAAGGTTGGCACGAGTACAAAAGAAAGGGTGAGTGGGTAAGAAGGAAGACACAAACCTTGGGAGTCTTTTGTAAGATTCATAAAGGCGCCGCCCGTGGGGCTCGAACCCACGACCACAAGGTTAAGAGCCTTGCGCTCTACCAACTGAGCTAGGGCGGCTGGCCTTCATACCCTGTTGGCAAACTTTTTGCATGGTATCTCTCCAGATAGTGAACCAAAACGAGTTGACCCAGCAAACAGGATCCCTCACACACGGGTAGTTCGCCAGCACACGAAAATTCGAAAGAAAAACGAGGGCTCGGAATAGCGACCGCATCAGGAAACGGGGGCGGAACCCACCGAAGAGGTTTGGGCGTAATACCACTCGAGAAATTTCCCATTCTGAAACGGGAAATGACGCAACCGCGTTGGGACCATCCTCACCTTCCGTCCACTGGCGCTAAAGGGGGGATGCCATCTGTATGCCATCGCTGTCCTCCGTGAAAGGGAGGATGGCGATGGCATAGCGTGGGGAGGGATTTTTGCCCGGGGACGAATTCGCGTCCCGGCTTCCATATGCCGTCGTGCAGTTCAAAATGGGATTAGTTTGGGGGCATTCGCCAGGCACTCAATTTGTTTTTGGTTCGGACGACATGAGAGGCTCGGCAGCATTTTTACGGGCTGACCAAGCTGACGGAGCTTAACGAGCCCTAATTGACGGGATCAGGAAGGCGTGACTGACCTTCCTGATCCCGTCGATTTTGCTTTCAAATGTGATGGCGAACCCTTCCGCGATGTTATCACTTCGCCAAAATGATGCTAACCAAAACAGCAAGAAGAGCACAGATTAGCTAGTCTAACCGTCTCGCAGCGACACCCGCCCATCGCCTTCATTTCGCTCGCCCAGGGTTTAGTGTTGTTCGCAGTCACTCGACTCGACGCTTTTTGTGGTTGTACATCGCGATCCGCATTTAGCGCGCTTTTATCCGCGACGGCGCACGCAGAGGGCGCGACTTCACCATACAGGCGAAGGGACGTCCGCGCTCACGATTCTCGCCTAACGTGCAGCGAAATCGTACAATATCTCTTGCACTGCCCCCCATCGGACGCGTTTCCGTGTCGACGTCGCCATCGCTCACTCCCTCCCATCGCCCACGCACACTCCCCTCGTCCGCCCACGCGCACTCTCCTCTTTCGCCCACGCACACTCCCCGCGTCCGCCCCCGCGCACTCCCCTCTTTCGCCCACGCACACTCCCCTCGTCCGCCCCCGCGCACTCCCCTGTTTCACCCCCACGCTCACTCCCCTCCCGTCGGGCACGCGACGCTTCCCTCCGTCACACACGCTCCCTCCAACAAGTCGCCCACGCTCACTCCCCTCCGTCACCCACGTGCATTCCCCTCCGTGCTGATTTGGTAGCAGCAGCCCCCGTCCTTTCCCCCTTTGCAACCCTAAACTCCCTTTCCCCCCTGCTTCCCCGCCGTCTCCTCCCTGCTTCCCCTCCTTCCCCCCCCCCTGCTTCCCCGCACGAAGGGCGGACGGTAGCAAGCAGCAATTCGCGCGACGGGCGGACGAGCAGCGACACAGGGCGGCGGCGAGAACAGAAATTCAGCTGCTAAGTCGCGGTTGTGCGAAGGGATTGCGAGGAACCACGACACAACCTGCTTTGGTATGCCTCATCGTCGTCGTGTCGGGGGCCTGTTCCTTATTTTCCGCAACCCCCTCGTCTGCACATTGCGGCTACTCCACTCCCCGCCCCTCTGCACGCATCTCCCTTCCGCACTGACCGCGTCTCGTTCTTCCCCTAATCCCGTATTTTCCAACGTTACATACCTTTTCCACCTTTCACCTGTCGGCCTTACTCTCTTCTTCCCCCTAAAACCTCTCTGCCTTACGCCCATCCTCCCCTCGCTCGCTCTCAATCTTACACCCTTCTTCCCCCACCATGCGTCCTCTGCCTTACGCCCTGCTTTCACCTTTCCCCTCTCCTCCATACGCCCTGCTTCCCCCTTTCCCCTCTCTTCCCTACACCCTTCTTCCAACTATCCCCTACCTACCTTACGCCCTGCTTCCCCCTTTCTCCTCTCTTCCCTACACCATTATTCCCCCTCTCCCCTCTTTGCCTTACACCATTCCCCCTTTCCCTCCTCTGCCTTACCCCCTTCTTCCCGTTCTCTGCCTTACGCCCTGCTTCCCCCTTTTCCCTCTCTGCCTTACCCCCTTCTTCCGCCTTTCCCCCCTCTCTGCCTTACGCCAGTCTCCCCCCTTTTCCCCTCTTCCATACGCTCTTCTTCCCCCTTCCCCCTCTCTGCCTTACGCCCGTTTTCCCCCTTACGCCACTCTGCCTTACTCCCCTTCTTCCACCTTTTCCCTATCTCCCTTGCTTCCTTCTTCCCCCTTCCCCACTCTGCCTTTCACCCGTCTTCTCCCCTTCCCCACTCTGCCTTTCAACCGTCTTCTCCCCTTCCCCACTCTCCCTTACACCCTTCTTCCAACTTTCCCCTCTCTGCCTTGCGCCCTTCTTCCCCCCGTTCCCTCTCTTCCCTACACCCTTCTTCCCCCTTACACCACTCTGCCGTATTTCTTCGGCCCCCTTTCCCTCACTTCCCCCCACCCTTCTTCCCCCACTCCCATATCTGCCTTACACCCCTTCTTCCCTTACTCCCCTCTCAAATAGCCCCCCATCTACCTCATTCCACTCTGCTACACTCCTTTCGGTCCCTTACTCCCCTCAGCTATACCCCACGCTCCTCACTGCTCCCCTCACATATACCCCTTGCTGTCCCATATTCCCCATGGGTATACCCCTTTCTCTCCCTTGCTCCGCTCGGCTATCCCCCTTTTTCCCTCTTACTACCCTCTGCTACACTCCTTTATCTCTCGTACTCCCCCCGGCTATACCCATTTACCACCCATCCTCCCCTCACCGCAACCCCAAGCTGTCCCTTACTCCCCCCGGCTATACCCCTTTCTCTGCCATACTTCCCCCGGCTATACCCCTTTCTCTGCCATACCCCCCCCGGCTATACCCCTTTCTCTGCCATACCGCCCTCGGCTATCTCTCTTTCTCCCCCTTCCTCCCCTCTGCTATACCCCTGACTCTCCTTGACTCCGCCCCCATGACGCGCCCTCTGTACGCATCTCCCTTCCACTCTGAACACAACCTTTGACCACCAGAAAATGCACCGTTGGTCCCCTTTATCCCTTTTCTCGGCCCTGCACCCCGTTCCCCCCTCTCCGCCTTACACCCTCCTTCTCCCTCTTTCCTCTCTGCCTTACCCCCTTCTTCCACCTATCCCCTCACTACCTTACACTCTTCTTCCCCCTTTCCCCTCTCTCCTTACACTCTACTAGCCCCACCATGCGTTCAGTGCCTTACACCATGCTTCTCCCTTTTTCCTCTCTTCCTTACACCCTACAAAACCCCTTTCCCCTCTCAGCCTTTCGCCCATCCTCCCCCCATTCCCTCGCATCCTTACACCTTTATTCCCCCACCATGAGTTCTCTGCCTTACACCCTTTTTCCCCCATTCTCCACTCTGCCTTACCCCCTTCTACCTCCTTTCCACCCTCGGTGCCTTACACCCTGCTTCCCCCATTTCCCTCTCTTCCCTACACCCTTCTTCCCCCTTTCCTCTCTCTTCCTTATGCCCTTCGTCTCCCTTCCCCCACTCTCCTTACACTTTTCTTATTGCACCATGAGTTCTCTGCCTAACGCCCTGCTTCCCCCTTTCCCCTATCTGCCTTACACCCTTCTTCTTCCTTTCCCCACTCTGCATTACCACCTTCTTCCACGTTTCCAACCTCGGTGCTTTGCACCCTGCTTCCTCCTTTTCCCTCTCTTCCCTACACCCTTCTTCCCCCTTTCCCCTCTCATCATTACACCCTTCAACCCCCACCATGCGTTCTCTGCGTTACGCCCTTCTTCCCCTATTCCCCACTCTGCCGGACCCCCTTCTTCCGCCTTTCCACCCTCTCTGCCTTACGCCCTTCATCCCCCCTTTCCCCTCTTCCTTTTCCCCTCTCTTCCCTACACCATTCTTCCCCCTTTCCCCTCTCTACCTTACACCCTTCTTCCGCCACCAAGCGTTCTTTCCCTAACGACCTGCTAAACCCCTTTTCCCCCTCTTCCCTACACCCTGCTTCCCCCTCTCTCTTCTCTGCCTTACGCCCTGCTTCCCCCTTTCCCCTCTCTTCCCTACACCATGCGTCCCCCTCCCCCTTGTCTTCCAAACACCCTTCTTCCCCCTCTCCCCTCTCTTACTTTCCCCCTACTTCCCCCACCATGCCTTCTCTGCCTTACGCCCTGCTTTCCCCTTTCCCCTCTCCTCCCTATACCCTTCTTCCCCCTATCCCCTCCTTGCCTTACCATTTTTCGCTTCCTTTCCCTCTCTCGCATTCACCCGTCTTCCCCCTTTCCCCTCGCTGTCTTACACCCTTCCTCCCCTTTTCCCCGCTTTGCCGTACACCCTTCCTCCGCCTTTCTACCCTCTCTGCCTTACGCCCTTCTTCCCCACTTTCTCCTCTTCCTTCCACCCTTCTTCTCCTCTTCCCCTCTCTGCCTTACGCCCTTCTTCCCCACTTTCTCCTCTTCCTACCACCCTTCTTCTCCCCTTCCCCTCTCTGCCTTACGCCCTTCTTCCCCCTTTTACCCTCTTCCTTACTCCCTTCTACCCCCTGTCCCATCTCTGCCTCGCTCCTTTTTTGGGACCCTTACGCCACTGCGCCTCACTCTCGTTCACCACCCTTCCCCAATCTCCCATCCTCCTTTTTCCACACCCTCTCTGCCATTCACCCCACTTCTCCCCTTTCTCTCTCTGCGTTACACCCTTCTTCCGCCTTTCGCCTCTATGCCTTGCACCCTTTGTCCCCCTTACGCCACTCTGCCATAATCCCCTTCTTCTACCTTTCCACTATCTCCCTTACCTCCTACATCACCCTTTGCCTCTATGCCATTCTCCCTTCTTCTCCCCTTCCCCTCTATGCTTTACACCCCTCTTCCGCCTTTCCCCTCTCTTCCTTACGCCCTGCTTCCCCCATGTCACTCTTTACACTACACCCGTCCTCCCCCTCTCCCCTCTCCGCCTTACACCTTTCTTGCCCCTTTCCCCTCTCTGCCTTACCCCCAACTTCCACCTCTCCCCCCACCTGCCTACACCTTTCTTCCCCCTTCCCCTCTCTGCCTTATACCCCTTTCCCCCTCATGCCACTCTGCCTCACTCCCCTTATCCCACCTTGTCCCTAACCCCCTGGCTTCGTCTTCCCCCTTTCCCTCTCTGCCTCTCACCCTTCTTATCCCCTTTCCCTCTATTCCATTCACCCTTGTTCTCCCCTTCCCCTCTCTGCCTTACACCCATCTTCCGCCTTTCCCCTCTCTGCCTTATGCCCTGCTTCCCCCCGTTCTCTCTCCTCCTTACACCCTTCATCCCCCTAACGCCACGCTGCCTTACTCTCTGCTTCACCCCTTTCCCTCACTTCCCTACACCCTTCTCCCCCCTCTCCCCTCTCTGCCTTACTCTCTTTTTCACCCTTACCCTTTCTGCCTTACACATTCTGTCCCCCTTACGCCAATCTGCCATACGCCCCTTGTTCCACCTTTCCCCTCTCTACCTTACATCCATCTTCCCCCTTTCCCTATCTCCCTTTCACCCTTCTTCTCCCTTTCCCCTCGCTGCCCACACCTATCTTCCCTGTATCCCCTCTCTGCCAGACACCCTTCTTCCCCTATCCCCTCTCTGCCTTACCCCCCTTCTTCCGCATTTCCACCCTCTCCGCCCTACGCCCTTCTTCGCCCTTTTCCCCTCTTTATACGCCCTTCTTCCCCCTTTCCCGTCTCTGCCTTACACCCTTCTTCCCTAGAGCCTCTCTGCCATAATCCCTGCTTCCCCCTCTTCCCTCACCTCCCTACACCCGTCTTCCCCCTCTTCCCTCACCTCCCTACACCCGTCTTCCCCCTCTTCCCTCACCTCCCTACACCCGTCTTCCCCCTCTCCCCCCCCCCGTGCCCTCTCACGCAACTACCTCCATGCTCCCCCCCATGCCCTCTCACGCTACTCTGTCGTTTGTCCCCTCGCGCCTAAATTCCTTTCTCCCTCTGACCATTCGCTCTTTCGATCTCCCTCTCCTCCCTCTCCTCTCTCTGTCCGATCTCCCGTCCCTGTTCTATTTCCCCTCGCCAACACAGCGCCCTACGCGTCGGCCCATCCGCACATCTCTGCTCAACGTCTCCAATCCGCGACCCACGCCGCCACCGCGCCTCTCCTTGGGGTGTAACATCAACACTCTTAGAGAGGAACCAGGTACAGCACGCCATCTCTTCCTTGCCTCTCTCCTCCCTCTTCCTTCTCTCATCTCCATCCCCTCTCTTCTCTGACTTCCCTCACGCCCCACCCTGCATTATTCTCCGCTCCGCCTTTCCTTTCTCAACCCCCTGCTCTCTCCCCCCCTCACAAATGCAACTCCGGAACCTCTCCTCCTCCTCTTCGCCTCCCAGCCCACTATCCCTTCAATGCCCTCTCTCCCCTCCCTGCTCTCCCTCGACCCCTTGCCCTCCCCTCCCTTCCATCTCTCCCTCAATAATCTGTTGCCCCCGTCACACCCTCTTGTTGCACTCTGTCCTCTCCCCAATACTTCGCTCTCTCATCTCCGTACTCTTCGTGCCTCCTCTCTATCCTGTTCCAACCCTTCCGTGAATGTGTCGTATTCCGTGAATGTGTCGTATTCCGTGAATGTGTCGTATTCCGTGAATGTGTCGTATTCCGTGAATGTGTCGTATTCCGTGAAGATGGCAATAATTGAGGAGCATCAGGACGAACCCGACCAAATCGAACCTCAACACGTGGCCGAATCATCCGCAAATGAACCTGAGATAGTCGCGTCCGCGTTTTCGTCTGGTCCCTCTCTCACGGCGGCTGCTGGTAGGAGCGGCGAAAGCGGAACAGGCGGAGAAGCGGGGGTAGGAGAGGAGCAGCCGCCTGTGGTGGTGGGGAGGGACGACGGGGAGGATGTTGGGGAAGGCGTGCGGAAGGTGGTTATCAAGGAAGGGAACAAGGAGAAGGGGTCACCTGACGTCGGCTGCACAGTCTTCGGTGAGAGCAGCCTTCAGGGTTTTCCGTCTCGCTCCGACCTACTTAATATCCGTCGGGATTCCGTCTACTCGTCGCCACATGTCATCCAGTCCCGAACTCCTTTCCTTTTCCCAGAAGAATGAATTGAGGTCGCATATACTGCTCTGTTTGTCCTCCTCACTTGTATCAGGGCATCTGCCTTTCCCATGCTCTACCCCAGCAACCCTCTTTTACTCTACCCGAAAAAAAAAAAAATGTCCATGCCCTTTGTCCTTGACATTCCGCAGTGCACTACCGTGCATGGCCGGCAAATTCCGAAGCCAACGAGGAGAAAGGCGATGGGGATGCGGGCGAGGAGCGGGAGGGGAAAGAGCAAGTGGGGCGGAAGGAGAAGCGGAAGCATGCAAAGGTGTACGACACGTGGGATGAGGGCCAGATGACTGAGCTGATTCTGGGACATGGTAAGGCGTGCATGGAGAAGCGGACACAGATTGGCTTTTACACTAGGAGAGGAACTGATAGGCTGAGTCGATGCTGCATGTAAGGCACGCTCATATCTTCAGCAAGCGAGCTGCAACAAGACATTCCTGCCTCATTCTGCTGGTTTCCAACCGTTCAGCCTCTCTCCTCAGCTGAAAACCTTCCCGTATCATCCCTTGTTTTCTCCTGACTTTCCAGAGAAGGCAGAGCTGCGTGGGCTGTCACTGGGAGTGCGGTCGATGCATCCTGGCGAGCGGTGTGTGTTGCGAGTGCCATCAGCCCTGGCGTACGGCACCCAAGGCTGCTTCAGCTTCCCCCACGTGCCCCCCAACTCGGACCTCCTGTATGAAGCAAAGCTCGTGGGCTTTGAAAAGCCGCCGGTAAGTCAGGAGAGGTGTGTCGATTCGATACTGTGGTCGCATCACTGTCTGAGAGTTTCGAGGGATCATGTTATCAACTAAGCTGCTTCGTTGCGAGAAGCATAGAGTCCCTGTTTGGTCACGTGAACTGTTCATGAACAGTCAACATCGATGTGTGAATGATTAAGATTTCCATGCACGTGTGTCTGTAATGGTGTGCAGGGTGGTGCAGATAGGGCGCGAGATCGCTCGCAGATGACAGCTGACGAGAGGATAGAGGCGGCTGACAGGCACAGGCAGGCTGGCAACGAGGCGTTCAGAGGGGACAACATGGAGGAGGCACTGCGAGAATACGAGATGGTATGGCAGGATTACAAGTGCGGGTGTGCTTTTTGCGTCGACTAAAAAAGCGTTCAGAGGGGACAACACGGAGGAGGCACTGCGAGAATATGAGATGGTATGGAAGGGCTATGAGTGCGAGTGTGTCATCTTGAGTTGGATGCGAGCTGTTGTGAATAATTATGGGTGGTGTGTGATATGGAGCGATATTGTGAGGTTGTAGCCATTTGCATTGGACTGGCAAGCAACATCTTGCTGCCTTTGTGTAGCTCGCCTCGCCCACACTCCCAACACTTGATTTCATGCTTATGTCTCCTGCTTTTCCCCATGTCTCCTGATTTCTGTGCACAAGGCATTGGGCTACATGGGAGATGAGTTCATGATGCAGATGTTTGGCAAGTACAGGGACATGGCCAATGCTGTCCGCCTGCCAACTCTGCTCAACTCTGCTGCCGCTCACCTCAAGCTGAACAATTACAATGAGACAATCGGTCTGTGCACCTTGGTACGTCATCATCTGATGCTTCTGTGGCCAACTGAACTCTTGTATGTCTTTCTTGTAATTGCATGCTCCCTGGTATGTTCCTCTGTGGTGGATGCTTGCCGTTATGTATCTTTGTGATAAATGCATGGTTTCATGTCCCGTGCCTTCATGCGTAAATGTCACATCCACATGGCAATTGAAGTGGTGTTTGTCTCAGGCTATATGCTCTAGTGTCCTGAGATTTTGTGTACTTTTGTCCTGACACGACTCGGCCGCCCAGGAAATGTTTGTGTTACGACCATCTTTTTCACTCATATCCTGGACGTCAAATTTGTCTGCCCGGACCCCTCCAGGTGCTGTCGGAAGAGCCAGACAACCCCAAGGCCCTCTTTCGGCGGGGCAAGGCACGCCATGCACTTGGACAGCTTGATGCATCGATGGTCGATATCAAATCTGCTGCCAAACGGGCCCCTGGTGATGCTGCTATTGCTCGTGAGCTGGCGGCTTTGAAGAAGGCAGAGCGAGAGGCAATGGACAAGCAGAAAGAGATGTTTAAGGGGATTTTTAAGCCACAACCAGCAGCACCTGTTGCAAACAGGAGGACGCAGTGGTTGGGTGCAATATGGAAGTATGTGTGTGAAGTGTTGAGCTGGTTTTGGCCTTTTGGAAAGAGGAAGACTGATTAGGTTGATATGGGAAGCGACTTTCATTTGTGAACAAAATCCTGTAGATTGAAGATTGTTTATGATCACGATTGCTTTTAAAACATCTTATTTACGTACTGTAGGTTTTTATGGCAAGGATCTGCGAATTCCATTTGTGAACAAAGTCCTGAAATTGAAGATTGTTTTTTATGATGAATGATTCTAACACATTTGATTTACGGTACGGATGATTCTTTATCGGCGCAAAGGAGCTCCAGCTCTGAAGCCCTGTACGGGGTACAGTGTGTTAGTGCGTTCATTTCTTAGTGCGTTCATTTCTTCCTCACACCTCATCGAATTCTGCAAGCACTATCATCGCATAGTACCAACACATGAAGTTGCCTGAAATCATGACGCCTGAAAGGCGTAGTCCGACGAATGGATCAGCTTCTCCCAAGGACAGGAATGGCAGTAGGCAGGTGGAGAATGCGACATATGTTCACAAGGATACCCCTCGACCGTTAGGGGAACGCCGTAACGTGAACATGAGCATTAACGTAACCGACCAAGGCATGCCAAAGGAGGTGACGAAAAGGTGCGACTGATTTAAGATGCTTGATATCCATTGCTACAACGCTAACTCACACTGTTTCATAGGGTGGAGAAAGAGAGCACGAAAGAGGAGTTTAAAACTGATTCTCCAACGATCAGCCCGAAGTCCAAGGCCGACGACGCAGCTGCACTCCCTGGAAACGAACGGGTGTGCTATTCAGTGAATTGAGAATATGGAAGTTAGATGCCTGAGACGTATTCTTTATATTTCAGGTCACCGTTGCACTGAGAATCCGGCCGTTTTCTTCAGAAGAGACAATGGCACACGGAAGGAAGGCATGTCATGCTTTTATATCAGCATGAACCTGTTGCGACCCCAAGCTAACTGTCTATGTCGTTCTATACAGGCAATCGCTGTTTTTGGGAGCAGAGTGTTGGTATGCGAGGACATGATCCCTACGGAAAGCCCAAATGGACGAGGAAAGAGAGATGTAGAGAGCCCTCGTTCCGCTAACCATGAGTTTACCCTTCACTTTGTTCAAGATGACAACCTTACACCACCAACGGATCCGGCCATGGCTGACAACTTGCAGTCACGGCTTTTCGAAGTCCTGGGATCTCCATGTCTCAAAGCTGCACTCGAAGGCTACAATGCCACTGTAAGGGAACACTGCTATTCCAGGCCAACTGCCCCGTAACAGTTTAGAGCTGTAATGCGGTCATGCTATTTCAGGTCTTCGCTTATGGTCAGACGGGGTCAGGGAAGACGTACACGATGATGGGAGACGGGACATCCGCAGGGAAAGGAATGGTACTTTTTGCATTTGACTTCGCTATGTCTTCAGGTTACGTAATGACCACCATTGTCATTCGCAGGTTCCGAGGATTGCGTCGGCACTTTTGCAAAGAATGTCATACCTGTATCATGGCGACCCAGAATGTCACGTTCAAGTAGGTGGGAACTCATTTCTGCATGATTGCAAATGTACAACCAGCACTTATTCTTTTGTTCCAGGTGAGCTTTCTAGAGATATATCAAGAGAAAATAAGGGACCTTCTGACCAGCAAGCACCCTGCACATTCTGCGACCAGTGCAAGTGAAGCATTTGCTGCCTCTTTTACTCACAATGAACAGCAGCTGCCAGCAGAGGAACATGCTAGTAAGGAGGGCTCTATGTCGGACTCTCACTTACAAGCTCAGAATCTCAAGGATCAGAACGCCTCTCCGATTCATTCGCCAAAAAAGGCTAAGCATTCAACAGAGCATGCTCCAGCATCACCAGCATCTCCTAGGACCCCAGCATCCCCTCGCTCGCCAAGGTCGCCTCGGTCTCCATCCATGTCACCCCTCTCCTCACCAAATGGTGCACAAGAGAAGCTCAAGATCCGAGAACATCCCAAATTAGGTCCGTATGTGGTTGGCTTGACACGACGCTTCGTGACGTCATGGGAGGAGATGAAGGATGCTCTGGCAGAAGGACATTCGAACAGGACCTTCGGAGCTACCGACATGAATCAGAAGTCCAGTCGAAGCCACACTGTTTTCACCATGACAATCACCCAGGTCTGTTTGAATAGGCTGCAACTTTGAAGCTTCTTGTCACGGAATGTTTCTTATGTTGTTCCATCTCAGAAGGTGAAGGGGCAGGACGGCCTGGACAGCCAAAGGACGAGCCAGCTTAACATGGTTGATCTTGCTGGTAAGACCATCTTGGCATAACTTGCAGTGCATGACTGCAAGTTCACCTCTGACACTAATATCCCAGGGAGCGAGCGACAAGCTCGGACACATGCGAGCGGGCAGAGGCTTAAGGAGTCAGGCTACATCAACAGATCCCTGTCTCTCTTGAACAATGTAAGTATTAAAATCTGAAGGGTTGTGTTTAAGCCAGAATGACAATATCTTTTTTTGTCTGCAGGTTATAACCCAACTCTCTCAAGGAAGTGATTTTGTGCCATATCGGAATTCCGTTCTGACCTGGCTGCTTAAGGAAAGTCTTGGAGGAAACAGCAAGACAGTGATGATAGCCAACATCTCACCTGCCTTCGAGGTATGTGTTTGGCGGCGATAATTTGCCAGCATTGCTTTGTCAATCTAACAGCTTGCGACTGAAAGCTGGATTGCAGGATTTGAGGGAGACGTTAAGCACTTTGCGCTACGCGAATCGTGCCAAGCGGATCCAGAACAAGCCAACTATCAATGAAGATCCAAAGGACTTGACTATCCGCTGCCTGATGTCCGAAGTGAAAACTCTCCGCAAAATGGTGGAGTCTTTGGCATTGCGGGCCTCTTTTCATCCTTCTGTTCGGCTCCGTAGCGTGGGAGTTCAGGTAAAAAGAGATTGGCATTGATCACTTCAGATAATCTCTCTTTGTTTCCTACTAAGCCCTCTGAGATGTTTCACAGGTGCCAGAGTTTCCACACCAGACGGATTCATGTTTGCCCATCAAGCTTCCTCAGAAGCGTGACAGCTTTGCTTTCCGAGAGCCATCCTCGCCATCACTTGCCCTCCCATTCACACCGCTCTTTCCTAATCCTTTCCCAAAGCCGCATGTGTTAACGATCCCTCACAGCCAGTTTGAACCTGCCGTAAAGAGAAGGTCTAGTGCGCTTGAGAGGGTGCTGTCGCTTGGCATGACCTCTCAGGTGGTGCAAAAGAGTGCCGCAAGTGAAGCCTCTTCAAGCCCAATGCTCGTCCATGGAGGTAAGCCTTCCGCTCAACTTCAGCAAGTCAACACCAGAGGCGAAATGGAGAACGTGAAGCCTTTCATTTTTGGAGAGTTCCCTGCTGGCAGCGTAACTGTTGCTACTAATGCACCAAAAGCCTTGACCCCTCTGGAGACTCAGACAGACACGCTGATTAAGAAGCTGACAGATGTTCTTAAGAAGCCAGGCATGATATCCAACTCCACCAAGCCAGCCTATCCCGAGTCCACTAAGACGGCGTATCCATTCTTCGTCCCCCTGTTGCTATCAGATGAAGATACCGACTCGGAGATTGTCACAGGTAAGCCAGAACTAGTACGTTTCTCTGTGGTTATCCTGGGCCTTGTGATCTCACATTTCCTTCTCAACGTGGCAGGTGTTAAACATGTGCTTCAGCCAGGAGTAACTAAGATTGGATCTGGCAACGGAGCTGACATCCATGTTCCCAGTCTTTTGGAAGATCACTGTGAGGTCCTGCACATACCTGGTCGACAGAATGCCAGTGGTCACAAGACAACTACTCGAGTCAGCATTTTGGTGTATGGAAATGCTATGGCAAGTGTTGATGGTAGGCTATTACAGCGTTATGCAGTCCTGGAACATGGCTGTAAGCTGAAGCTGGGTGGTGGCAAAGGTGCCATCATCTTTCACTTCTTTGATCCAAGCAAAGTAGCACCATGAAGGTGGCAACGGACGAGGCCATGGGTTTAAATGGAGGAGATTTGGTTGCAGAAGGGAGTTGGTATGGAGTGAAGCAAGAATGATGATAGTTGCAGAAGGGAGCTGGCATGGAGTGAACAAAAAAGGACATGTCAATAAGCACTATCCATGGTATGTGCAGGATTCCAAGCTGGGTTTTGTTATCAACAATAAGCACATTGTGCACAACTCATTCATATACCACCAGACCTTGTATCGTCCGAAGGGAGCATTATGTTGCCTTTTGAACTAATCCATACACAAAGCATTGCTCCTGAATGCTTGTATCAAGGTTAAACATACGGTAGTTCGAATTCACAAGACCAGAAATGTAAACTGAGGCTATGAACAGCAAACTTGGAGGCATTCCTGCTGCTACTCCTCACTGCTGTAAACAGAAGGCCATCGATAATGCTCCAAGCAGATTTACTACGCCGAGCTGCACACAAGAATTCCGAGAAACAAATACATCATATCAGCACCACATGTGTGCTGTCTGAAGGCAGCCATGAACGGAACTTTCACATTTGTCACAGCGAGACCGCTTTCTGTCACAAAGAGAACATGGAACTTACAAGCAAAACCATGGCTGGAACTGCGCCAGATGCCACGAGAGCACAGAAACTGAAGAAAAGAAACTGCATGAGTCACCACAAGAATCTTAGTACAGCAATGCACCTGCTGGAAAACTTGAAGGAAATGCGAGAAACTACTTGAGGGACATAAGAAACGCAAGCACATAGTGCTACTCACAATTCGGCCGACAACAGTTGCCTCATAGAAGCCTCGGACCCCTGAACCATTTCTTTCACCCCTGGCAGCGCCAATGTAGTAGATGCCAAACACCTGACCACATTAAAACGGTTATACTCAATAACAGCACCCTCTGTAAGCAACCGAGAGAGACAACAGATAAACAAACAGAAACGCATATAAAACAGAACCCACCATGGCAAGGGTCCCTAGAACACGAATCCATCCAGGTGTCAATGCATCACGGCCAAACAATAAACCTGGAACCCATAAAGAGAGCAGGAACAAGATCAAGCACGGAGCATACGAAAAAACGATATAAATGGGAAAAGAAAGTCGGAAACAAAAACACGAAAAACCGCCATCACCGGAAACTTCGGCATAACAAACGTGAAGGTGGGAAACGCGAGTGCCATGGCACCAGCCACACAGTTGTACGTCCCCGTCACCAGCGAGGCCACAGCTGTCCGAGAGAAAACAGGAGAAAAAAACAAGAAAAAACGCCACATCGGGCTTACCAAACGTGAAGGTGGGAAACACGAGAGCCATGGCACCAGCCACACAGATGTACGCCCCCGTGACCAGCGAGGCCACAGCCGTCCGAGAGAGCTTCTTCCCCGCTGCAGCAGCAGCGGCTGGTGGAGGCTCGACATTCCAAGAGACGTCCATCAGGTGAGTGCTGGCCAGATGTGCCATCACTGGATCCGCCCTCCCCTTGCCGTTCACCTGCACCTGCCTGTTGGGGCCGGCGGGCTCTATGCTGAGAGGGAGGAATGTGAGAAGAATGGAGGAAGTGGAAGGGGACGGGAAGGAGGGAAGGGATGTGAGTGCTGGCCAGGTGTGCTATCACCGGATCTGCCCTCCCCTTCCCGTTCACCTGTGCCTGTCTGTTGGGGCCGGCAGGCTCTATGCTGAAAGGGAGCAGAAAAGGGTGGAAAACGCATGGAATAGAAAAACGGAGGGGCCATTGATTGGGTGCTGGCTGGCCAGGTGTGCCATCACTGGATCCGCCCTCCCCTTGTCATTCACCTGTGCCTGCCTGTTGGGGCCGGCAGGCTCTATGCTGAGGGGGAGAAATAAGAGAGACTGGAGGAAGTGGAAGGGGGAGGAGGGAAGGGATTGTGAGTGCTGGCCAGGTGTGCCCTGCCCTTCCTGCTCACCTGCTACTGGCCACCACTGAACACCATACTGGGGGGGTTGGTCCATGCCCAGGGCTACCACCACATTGCTTGCGCCTGCCCATGCCCCACCACTAGCACCGGGGCCCACAGCTGCTCACTGCACGAATGTACCATATATGCTCGGTCGAGTCAATAAATGCCACTTCAGGGTGCCCTGCCGCCTTCCCCTGTGCGCCCTGCACCACCTCAGTGGCAATGGCCACCACACTGGGCTCCATGCATAGCGCTACCACCACACAGCGCCTACCTTTACCCTGCTGCTGCCACCGCTTCCAACCGCTCCCCACCGCACCAACGTACCATATATGCCCAGACGAATCGATAGAAGCGACTTCGGGATGGCCTGCCGCCTTCCCCTGTGCGCCCTGCACCACCTCAGTTGCAATCGCCACCAAACTGGGCTCCATGCACAGCGCCACCACCACACTGCTTGTGGAGTTCTCAACAATGACAATGAAATGCATGGCCTACCATTTATGCCCTGACTGATCGATAGAAGCCACCTCAGGGTGTCCTGCGGCCTTCCCCTGTGCGCCCTGCACCACCTCAGTGGCAATGGCCACCACACTAGGTTCCATGCACAGCGCCACCACCACACTGCGCCTACCTTTACCCTGCTGCTGCCACCGCTTCCAACCGCTCCCTGCCGCACCAACTTACCATATATGCCCGGATGAATCTATAGAAGCCACTTCGGGAAGCCCTGCCGCCTTCCCCTGTGCGCCCTGCTCCACCTCAGTGGCAATCGCCACCACACTGGGCTCCATGCACAGCGCCACCACCACACTGCGCCGGTTTCCACCGCTCCCTGCATGCACCTTGCCTGCCAGCCGACCGAGAACTATGACGTCCCCTGCTGCTCTCACCACTGCCCCTGGACTCACATCCCCATACACCTGAAGTGGGGTGGGGGAAAAGGAAGGAAAAGCGGAAAGAGAGGAGGGTGGGAAAGTGGGAGGGGAGATGGGGAAGCGGAGGGGGGGGGGAATGGGAGTGTGTGTGGGAGGAAAGGCGAAGGATCATCGCTCCCTCCATGCACCTTTCCTGCCAGCCGGCCAAGAACTATGACGTCCCCTGCTGCTCGCACCACTGCCCCAGGACTCACATCCCCATACACCTGCGAGAAGGTTGGGGAATGGGAGGAGGGTGGAGAAAAGGAGGGGGGCGGGGAAAGGGAGAGGGATGGGGAAAAGGAGAGGGATGGGGAAAGGGAGAGGGATGGGGAAAGGAAGGGGGGATGGGAAAGTAGGAAGGGAGGCGAAGGATCATCGCTCCCTGCAGCCCCTTACTCACACTCACACCCTTTACAAGCACACATCACCCCCCTACACGCACAGTGACACCCGCACCACCCCGCTACATGCACAATGACGGTGCCATCGTGGCTGATCTCCTCGAACTACCTGATGCTGCGCTTAACATAAAGACACGTCACCCCTTTGCACGCACACTCACGCCCTCACACGCACAATGACACCCTCACGCCCTCACACGCACAATGACACCCTCACGCCCTCCACACGCACAATGACACCCTCACGCCCTCCACACGCACAATGACACCCTCACGCCCTCCACACGCACAATGACACCCTCACGCCCTCCACACGCACAATCACACACCACCCCCCACACGCACAATAACGGTGCCATCGTAGCTGATCTCCTCAAACTGCCGGATTCCCCGCTTGATGTACAGACACGTCACGCCCCCTGCACACCCGCGCCCCTTACTCACATTCACGCAGCGCCCCCTACAAGCACACATCACCCCTTTACACGCACAATAACGGTGCCATCATAGCTGATCTCCTCGAACTGCCGGATGCTCCGCTTCACGTACAGACACGTCACGCCTCTCGCCTCCATCTGCCCCCGGCTCTTCCCCGTCTCCTCCATCCAATTGCTCCTCCCTCTCACCGCACTCTCCCCCTCCTCCTCCTCCACACCCCTCCCTGCCATGTCCATCCCTCCCTGCCCTCCCATACTTCTCCCTCTCTCCTCTGACCAATTCCTTATTTCCCTTCCTTGCTGCTCTTGCTGCCACTCGCTCTGTTGTTGTGCGGCCTGCTCTTGCTGCTGCTGCCAGCTTTGATGCTGCTCTTGCTGCTGCTGCCAGCTTTGATGCTGCTCTTGCTGCTGCTGCCAGCTTTGATGCTGCTCCTGCTGCTGTTGTAACGGCTGTTGCTGCTGTTGTAACGGCTGTTGCTGCTGTTGTAACGGCTGTTGCTGCTGTTGTTGCCTTCGCTGTTGTAGCAGCTGTTGTTGCTGCAGCAGCAGCTGCTGCCGTTCCTGCCACCGCTGCTGCTCCCGTCGCCCTCCCGGAAACCACTGGTTCCCCGCTGCAGCCACCGAGACGTCTCTCCGCAATCTCCGGGATCCAAAATCTCCTTTGATTCCGTCATCGCCACTATTCTGCCAAACATTAATGACTATTCTGGCCGGTCTGGTCGGTCTGTCCTGTCTGACGGGTCGCTGCTGTTTACTTAGCCAACACTTCACCGCAGAGTCACAAACGGTTCTGTGTTTAGTAAGTTGGTGATTGGTCCCAGAGGAGGTATGCAGGACGAGTGGATTACTACTATTTAATCTCAGCGTCGTCACGGGTATAAGAATTACCCCCATCGAGCTTACATATGTGCGCCTGATTGCGATGATGGATTGCGACTGGAGGACTGCTTGCGACTGTTCAAAACAGTTCGCGACTACGTGAGCTATCTATCATGAACGGACATGGCTTCGAGGCCTGTTACGGGAAGTAAAGCATATTAACCCTTCAATTAGCAAACTGCTGTTCTTCAGAGAAATGCGACTCCGAGATGCCTTCCATCAGAATATGCATCAGCTTTCAATTGAGCTTTCCCTCTCTCGATGAGCAGAATGAGTTCTGACAGGGATATGTCGGTGGAAACTAATGGTTTGTGAAGATCAGCGCTTCTATAACGTGTACGAAAGAAACAGATCCTCCTTGCTGTCAAAATGAGATGAACTACAAAACGTTCTTTGAGAATTGCTCCAGTGCCTTGTTTGGTGATTCGCTCTTGCCCACGTGTCCCCGAATTGCTCGAGTGGCCATCCAATTCAGTGATAATTGCTCGAGTGGCCATGCCAGGGCATTTTCGAGGTGTTTTTTTTCCCTGGCACATAGCCCTACAAGGGTTCGTACCCCCGAAATTCCTCGTTCACACAACAGTATATGCGCGGTCATTTTCGGCCCAATGCGCGACCAATGAGCGCGTGGGCAATTACATCAGCGATCATAAACTGCAACGCCAGAGCAGAAATGCACGAACATATTATTGACCGCGAACGATTGGTCGATAATATGCTTCTTGCCCTTTTTGGCAATGCGCGTCCAATCACGCACGGTCATATAATTCACGACCATATATTTAGGCGATAAAGGGTCGCCCAACAACGAATATGAGAGCGCATATACTACCATTAGTTCTATCATATTTTTGGTCCATATAAAACCATGTATATCAAATGCCATAAATATATTCTCTGCTATTAATTTAAGCCCATCATAACCGTGGTGGCAGCATATTATGCTGGGCTTAAATTAATATTATTCTGCCCAACATATTATTTCTGCAACCATATTACCGGCAATACAATATTATGGACCACGGTATGATGGGCTTAAATTAATATTATGATAGGCCACGATAAAATATTATGTCTAGTATGATGGGCTTAAATTAATAGCAGAGAATATATTTATGGCATTTGATATACATCGCTTTATATGGACCGAACATATGGTAGAACTGATGGTAGTAGATGCGCGCTTATATTGGTTGCTGGGCGACCCTTTATCGCATAAATATATGGCCGTGAATTATATGACTGATTGGACGCGCATTGCCAAAAAGGGCAAGAAGCATATTATCGACCAATCGTGCGCGGTCAATAATATGTTCGTGCATTTCTGCTCTGGCGTTGCAGTTTATGATCGCTGATGTAATTGCCCACGCGCTCATTGGTCGCGCATTGGGCCGAAAATGACCGCGCATCTACTGTTGTGCGAACGAGGAATTTCGTGGGTACGAACCCTTGTAGGGCTATGTGCCAGGGAAAAAAAACACCTCGAAAATGCCCTGGCATGGCCACTCGAGCAATTATCACTGAATTGGATGGCCACTCGAGCAATTCGGGGACACGTGGGCAAGAGCGAATCACCAAACAAGGCACTGGAGCAATTCTCTCGTTCTTTGAGCTTCAAGTGAACAAACTATCAAACGCGCGATGGTTGCAGGAATTAACGGATTTGGCGGGAAAAATGGCACCTTCTGATGGCCTCTGGTTGTACTTGTAATAACTGATCCGTTTGAGAGCGGTAGCGTTTTGTGCTGAAAATGAAAGCTGGTGGTTTCCAAAAGGATAATTGTAAAGCGAATGAATTGAACTTTTTGCAACAAAGCCAAACATAAAATAGGAATTAAATAAAAATAATGTATTATATCTATATTTTTTTTTCCAACTAGGGGCTAATACTAGTGAAGGGTGAAATATGACATCGAAGCTAATGTTACTCACACATCTCCTTTATACCATTAATGAATTTGTGAATCATGTTTATACTGGTTAACGGGTCTTGCCGTAGTGCTTGAACTAAGTGTCTAACCACTAGCAAGGTGCTGATCAGCTGAGTTTAGACCAGACCAAACTCGCAACCGCTGGGCATTGCGCGAGGGCGAACACTAATTTCGGACACTAGTTTCAAAGCGCGCGTAGGACAACACTAATTTCGGACCCACATAGTGCACATACCCCACGTGTCTCGCTCCAGTGCGTCCCGAAGCACTGATTACACGGAACCGTAGTGTCAGAGCCTAGTCCGTCACTGCTCCCCGTGCGATTTCGTCCACATATTAGTCCGCCCTGCGTCTTTGTGAACCTTTTTCTTCCCCGTACGATTTCTTCGGCCTCATAGCCTGAGAGGCCGATCTCCCCTGGTTATCCTCCTCGCGGGAAATGGCACGAGAAGGCGCCACAGCGCGCCGAGCCTCGAACGCGCTCAAGGTGTCGTTTCAGCCGTTCGATGTGGACTTCCATCCGACGGCTCACCTGCTCAGCGTCTCCTTCATCTCGGGTGTCGTGCAACTGTAAGCGGTAAAATGAAGGGGGAATGCGAGATCGGATATGAGACATGCAGGATTGGCGCCGGGAATGCAGATCTTGTGACGTCAGAGCAGAGGCGTCCATTCTAGATTTATGGTCGTGGGGTGCTTTCGTCGGTCATGGATTCCTGTGGGTGCGATCAGATTCTGGGTTTAGATTGTTTAAGTTCAGGGCATTTAAGGCCAACTAATTTGGGTCAAGGTTTCGGGTTTGAGGTTTGCAGCAGAGGCGAGAACTTGGCCTTGATGATTTAGGGTTGTAATGGTTGTTATGCGTGCACACGCGCAGTGTAAACGTCTACAAGCGCGTGCAAGGGTGGGGTTCAAGGTTTCGGGTTTTGGGTATGCCACAGATGCATGCACTGTAAACGAGGGGTGTAGGGTTTCGGTTTTAGGGTGTGGACATGGGGCACGTGTGGCAAGGCACCCCCCATCCACTCCTCCACCAATCCATGCTTTTCCAATGCCTCACTGCCTCCCCTCCCCCTCCCCCCTGCCACCCCACTCTCTGTCCCAGACTCAATGTCGATCCTACCACACTGCAATTCGAAAGGTGCGCCCACTCCCCATTGCCAATATCACGCACCCCATTGCCACCGCCACACCTATTGTGTTCAGCCATAGCAGTTAGAGTTAAAGACTAGCCTGGCTGGCGGGCTTATGCAAAAGAAGAACTGGCAAGGTATGGTACCCAGTCTCACCCTTCGCTCCTCACCCCTTTGCACCTCACCCCTTTGCATCTCACCCCTTTGCACCCCACCCCTTT